TTTTTTTTTTTTTTTTTTTAATAAAAAAAAAAAATATTTTTTTTGGGGCATTTTTAAATGTTTTAGGCGCACTACTCCTTTTTCTTGCTAATATAAGGTTAAGCGTGCAAAACGTATTTCAGTTAATTTTACACTATGATTAGTTGTTTTATATGTAGTACACAGACTGTAACGATCACGATTAGTAATGGTTGACTGTTATATAATGTGGCTTTTGCTGTATATCTACCATATTCTTCAATTAAGTTGATCATTTTACCTAGTCTTATTCCACCTTGTATCAGTCTATATTCGACTATCGGCCAAGTTCGATAATAATAATTTGACCCAAGTGTAAAATTTGATGAACTATTCATAAAATGCGCATCTTCAGCTATATATACCGTTTTGCAAACTAAATCAATGTCTTCTTGAGCCCATAAAGCTGAACAAGCAGAGAATAGTGTTTGGTTGTAACAAGTTAACCATTGGGTGATGTTATCTACGTATTTAGAGCTTATTAATGTCGTTAAGTAATGAAAATAAATTGCAGCACTTTGATTAAAATCTGTATCAATACGCCTTTGTAAAATATGGGTATCCCATAACGAATGTAAATTTGTTCGTACGCTAAAAAAGTTTCCTAACGGCGTAAAAGATAATAAACATAGAAGTTAAGAAAGAGAAAGAAGAGATTTAGCGTACCTCTAACTGTATTGCCGCCACGATCTGATGTAAATGCCACGTGTAATGGCTGATGAACATCGCCTACATAATGAACTAAAAACTGCAAAGCTTCTTGTCGTTGGACATGATCTAAACTCGTATTAGCTAGTCTTCTCGTATAATTTTGTATTGCACCATCAATACAATTATTGTCAAGGCAATCTCTGTTTGGTACATATTGACACACGTAATCTGGTATATTGATGTAATGATGCTCACCTGACCAATTCCAATTTAAATAACCATCGGGATTCGTGTCAGTATAAAGCATATAATCGGCCCATGATGACACCATGCTCATATTACCGTTTACATTCGAAGGTAAAAGATCTTTGACAAATATCTTAGAGGAATCAGTTAAACGTGTCATAGCTATTTCGGACACAAGCGAATGACCAATGGCACTCCATGCATTTGAGTTAGTAACAACGATTTGAAATAACAAAAATACTTTAAAATAAATCATACTTATTATAAACCTTTAAAATGTTAATAACATGATCAAGAGAAGTTACATGAAACGAGGAAAAATAGAAAAATAAGGCAAATATTGATCTAAGGTGTTGTTTATTAATGATGACGTAACAGGAAAAAAAATGCATAACAGTAAAAGAAATGAGACACCATTTAAGACATATAGTGTTAGCTCTTTGATCCATGTTATACACTGAGAATAAATATCTGAATCACATACAGTCATGGGCCCATGATGGAGTAACAAACAGAGAGAACTAGAACAGGAAAAAGAAAGAAAGACAAGCTTAAAAGGGTTAAAGTAGGTAAATAAGTAAAAATTAAAGATTATTGAGAGCATACATAGATGACAGGCTGTTATTGAAAGAACACAAATGATAAATTAGCTGTACTAGGCAGTCCGCGTGTGTCATCCAACTGGAGTGTGAGTATTCGAAGAGAAAGACAAACTTTTTATTTAGTGATAAATCAGAGCAACATAACTGAGAATCTTCTGGTATAGTATATATAGTCACTGACCTCGTTTACAATTATTGCTATCTCATCACGTGTCAATTGATGTTGTAATCACAATGTTTTAGTATGTATTTTTAGACTATTAACAGGAATTTTATTGTTTAAATTAGAGAGAAGTAGATTTCTTTCATTCTTATTAAAGAGCGCTATCAAAAAAGAAATGATTTGATGTTTCAGGAGTGATATTGTGCACAAGAACAGAATGGATTGTCGACCCTATCCTTGTCGTACAGATCTTTTCTCAACTGGGAAAAGCCAATTCAAAGACGACAATAAGTAATATCAACATCACGATTTAATATTCACGATATTCTCAGAAACTAGCATTTGAACAGCAGACGAGATCTGAACATCCCAACAGGCTGAATCAATCTAGTTTCTAAAGGCAACTCATTATCTTCATGTAATGTACGAAATATCAGTGATTCATAAACCATATTTAGCTGACAACGAGTCATTGGCAGCAACTGTCTCTCACGACTATGCAAGAAGTAACAAAATGTTGGAGGGTTTTGGTTGACAGGCACTATATTTTTAAGAAACGAAGGTGAAATATTAATACAGCGAATTATAATACATTTGATACTCATATTGACACCGAGTATTGACAATAATGTTGTTATTAAAATATATCGTAATTTTCATTAAATACCGTTAAATAATTTTTGAATTCTTAAATGATGTGTCAGCGAAGTTGTCAAACGTGGAATGTAAACCTTAAATATAGACAAATATGATTCTCTTTTTTTCCCCATTCTTTCAAGTTGTAGAATAAGAAAAATTTTATTTCAAGGTCAGAAATATAAACAGTTGAGAAAAAGGAAGAAACAATAATCCAAATGGAGTCAACGTCATTATCTTTCTTGAAGACGACGATGTAGTGTCTTATTCCTCAACTCCTTCTATGAAACATATAATAAGTGATATAATAACTGAGCATTTGAAGAAGAAACCGTTTGAATTTAACATAGTTAATTTTGACAAAAAATGTTCATAGCCGTCAACAGTATGGCTAAAATTTTGATTAAAAATCACTAATTAAAAAAACATTAGATACCTGTGACTTTAATTGCACGCGAGTCGACCCTCGAAAAGAACGTATTTATCTGTATTTACGCGTCGACAAAAATGAATAAATCTCTCTACGTGTGGAATATAGTTCATGTCCACGTCTACATACGGAAGATATAAATTTATCTATTTCAATACATAATTCAATATATTTAGACTACTGTTTCAAGACTTGATAGAATCGAGTTCTAAGGAGCCTAACTGTTGGCCGCGATACTCTCAAATTCAATTTAATTGTTGCTTTGTTTTCTTTCTGTTATTACTTACCATTTACAACAACTCTCTGGACATTTAACTGCACTAATTCATCAGAAGGTGATTTCGGCCATGTGGATGTAGCAGATAAAACTGATCTATTTAGTCATCCTTCTATTTGCTTTATTCTTCCGCTATTATCTATCACATAATCTCACTGTATGAAATACTCAATGGTGAAGTCCATATAAGAATGGAAATCGACCCTTAACAATAACCCCTGTGATCGGTCCCAACCTCATTAGAATCGCATCCGATTATCATATTCGATGATTTCGACCCTTCCGAACACTTTCAGTCGAATATACGCGACAGAATCTACTTGAAACCAAGCAACAGTTTAGCACCAACAGTATGACTGTAAAATCAGCATTTCTCAACAACCATACTATATTAAGCCTAGCGCAATACATCATTCGATGCGCCTTGAAAAGCTCTACAACATGTGTTAATAAGAACCTTAACGAAGCTTGGCAGCAGGTTGTATGAATTTAATACTAGACTTTTCCGTAGGTCAAGACTTTGCCAAGGGAAATATTCTTCACTTTCTCTGTGAAACTAAAGATGATCTCTAAACATTCTTACATCATTCGATGCGCCTTGAAAAGCTCTGCAAGATATGTTAATAGGAAGCTTAACGAAGCCTGGCAGCCGTGTTTGGATATTAAATACTCCAGTGATGGGCGAGTCACATTTTTTAATGACTCTAACTCAAAAATTGGGAGACATTGACTTGGCTGTTTGACTCGAGTCATTCATTCGAAAAAAATTCTATTCACTAACTGCTTTGCATACATTTCCTCTTGTATAAATTTGAGTATTTCTGAATACTCTTTCTTGTTTTATTTTTATTGTTACGTTTTAACGTCAAAGACGCCTTCGTCATACAAAAGTGACTAAATGTGAAAAACATATAATTAATTAGAGTATATATATATATATGTATACCATAGCTGTTTATGGTGCGCTTGAGTCGAAAAAGATTTCTGAAAGGCTCTTGAAGATTTCTCGAAGTTTTGGTTTTTTGGAAGACCTACGTCGAAAACTTCAAACCTCTCAAACGCATTTCTAACGTGTTTAGCATTGCTTTTTACGTTGAAAACCATAATAGCGGGTCTCTAGGTGGAAATATCACTGAGCTATGGGCTGGGGCTCATCATCTGAAGGATTTTTCAAAAAACTAGCACTTTTTCAGTCTTTTCCTAATTTCTCCTAAAAGCAAAAAATGTTTTGGGAAAAACGACACATACTTTTGCGGAGCAGGGCAAGGCGTGGATGCTCTGTCGCCCGGTTATATCGCTCCGCATCGGAACACAATTCAGTGTAATCTAGAAGGACTGTATAACTATCATTATGCTAAACTAGCTCAACAACTAAAAGAAGTTAATGATATTTCATTAACCTGTGACTTTTGGTCGGATAGACGGCTTCGGTCATATCTTGTAATTAAACGACATTTTGTTGATGTTAATTTTACACTAACATCTAAAATTATTTGTTTTACTCAGTTTCGACATCGACATATGTCGAAAACGATCGCGGAAACTATTATCGAAAAACTGAAAAATCTCGGCGTCTATGAAAAAATCACCAGTATAACGTGCGATTGCGAGTTGATTTTGAGGTTTTCTGCATGAAAACTCGGTCAAATCGAGAAAATAAGATCAGATTCGTGATCAGCAGCGTCCGACGAATCAGAATATGTGTTTGAAAATTGAAAAGCTTTTCCACTTGATTTTTGCATTAGCATCTTACGTTTTAACAAAAAATTGCACCTGTTGTACTGTATTGCGATTTTCGTTGACACTTAAGAAACTCCATGCTTTGAATAGTTAGTGTAATCAACAATACTCGCCGAAAATGAATGTGTTTGATTTATGATTACGAGAAAAACATCTTTTTCCAAAGGAGTAGTCCGCATAAGATTTTAAATAGGCCCCCAAAAATATTTTTTTT